AAACCCCAAACCCCAAGCGGGCGGTAGTAGCGGCATTTGCATGGCCACGCACGCTGACGTGCTCCTCCACGGCTCACCCCAGCGGGACTAATTTGTTGCAACTTCTGCTTTTACAGCTTAATCTCTTTCTGCACAATCGCAAAATCGTGTTTGTAAACCTCGCTCCCTTAACCTCGGCTCCCAAACCGCCGGCGCAATTTACCAACTCCCTCCGCCCCAGCCCTCGCCTTAAAACAAAACAACAACAAGAAAGGGGGGGGGAAGGCACAACCCAGCTCCCATTAACCCGCTCTCTTCCTTCTGCCAGCGTCGAAAACCAAACCAAAACAACCGAAAAAAAAAAAAAAAAAAAGGAGGGAAAAAAAAACCCCAACAACCCTGCCCTGCCCCGGCCTAGGTAAGAGATTCAAGTTCCCTATTTTCGGCTAAAATTCCCTATCCGTCTTCTGCCTGGCGTGAGCGCTACGAACCTCCTCCCACCTGGGCAGGAGGCCGGGTCCCCGCAGAGGGGCGACGCGGGGACGGGATGGGGACAATCGGCGTCAAAAGGGCTTTTCCTCGCAAATCATCTCCCGGCTCGCATTTAACGCGGGACCCCCCTGGGACCGCAAACAGCTCCCGGGCTTTTTTAGGAGAAAGGAGACCGCGGAGGGGGAGGGGGCATACACCGAGCCCAGCGGGTGCCCAGCGGGGCAGAGCCCACCGCGGTCAGGCCACGCGTGGGACGGGCGACGGGGCCGAGAGCCCCGGCGCTGCCAGCAGCGGGGCGAGGCGGAGGAAGGCGCTGCCGGCCCGGCAGGGGTACGTTACCATCGGTGGCAGGTCTTTTCCTCTGCCCAGTGCACTGCTCTGCAAAGTCCGTCTGATTTTCAGAAACATCAGTCTTTTGACCTACACAGTGAGTGTCCTCTGAGATTCCCTGAGAACCGACAAAAACCACGGTTTGGCAATTCCCGTTTACATCCAAGCTCTGGCGGCCGGCGGACTTGCAGACAGCTTTCAGTAGCCTAGGGGGTCTGAAGTAGAAGTCGGGCGAGCTCCCCTTCTCCACGGCTTGCCACTCGTACCTGCCTTCCAGCGGCTTGTGATTCTGGAAATCGAAATTCCACTTCCTCTGGCATGCCTCCTCCATCTCCTGGCGGTGCTTCTTCAAGTCCCTGTTTAACTCTTCGTGATTCACCGGCCCGAAGAGGTTCCTGCAAGCTGACGGCTTCGGGTACTCCGACTGCCGGGCTTCCATGCGCTCC